TTCCATCACTTCCATGGAAAATCACATATCCTTGCAATTTAGGAATGTCATTGTTCATAGCAAAAAAAAAAAGTGCAGAGAAATCGATTCCTCTCCTGTTCCCATTAAATACTTAATCTTGCTCTCAGCAGCAAGATAGAAAACCTGGCTCAGTGGAAAGTATTAATTCTTACTTTCCACTGGCTGCTTTGCAGAGTTCAGAACAGATGTAAGGTGTAGGCTGAGCAAGGTTTTCAGACAAAGTGCAGAGTTTCAGTTTTTCTTACATTTGTGTTAAGCAAAGTACAACTTCAGAACTACAACAGAAACGGTTGGGTATTTTTTGTCCATGATTTAAAGAAATTCGTGGTACATGCTTATTTTCTACTCCTTACATACGTATTGAAACCATTTCAGAATCAAGACAAGAAGTGAATGTTCACAGTATCTATCTGTGTCATTGATGGATTGCCTAAAGCACAGTTAAAATTAATTCATGACTGCCATATCGTGCTCAACCTACAGCAGAAGAAAAAGGCTGCTTTTAAATACAGCTGCACAAAAATACCAAAAGAACTTAGGTTCATGCTTACATCCTGTAGGTAAGCACAGCAGAACCCCAGTAAGAGCTAGGCTTAAAGAAATATCGTATTTTAACTCGGCAGAACATTCACAGATCACATACAGGGAAGGAAATAAGAAATCCAATGAGCTACAGACTACAATTACAATATATGGTCTAGCATTATCAGCCCCCAGTGAGGAATAGCATATAGCTGGGTACCACTTTCATATGGTCCACATACATCCTATACCTGTCTAATGTATAGAGAAAGCAACGAGCTTGAATTGTTTTTCTTATCCCCAAACATCAGAAAGGACTATCACGTCTGGTTTAAAAAACTGCACCTCTTAATACAGCTGACAAGGCAAATGGATTTCTTCAGTTCTTCATACTGTACACCATTAGAAATTTAAAAGATTTTTGGTGCTTAGGGTCTTGTCACTGTTTTGGTGTGCACAAAAGCTACTTTGGCTGAAAGTTAGAGTATTTTCTGCTAGACACCCTGCCCTGCAAGCTCCCACAGCAACACTTGCAGCTTAACAGAGAAATAACAGAGAATTGTTTGTTGTGCAGGTGTCTATTTTTGTCAGTTAGGTTGATGATTGGACAAGATGATCTTTAAGGTCCCTTCCAACCTAGAAGATTCTGTGATTCTGATTCTGTGAATATCACAAGCACCATTTCTGTTTATGCTTTGCACTGTAAAACACACATTTTTCTACGCATCCAAATGTTTGTTTGTGAGTTGTCTGAAATTGCTATGAACCTGACACTAACATTATGGTGGGGAAAAAAATAAAAATCAAACAAAACAACAGTTGGGGTTTTTTTAAATGCAAAGCTTTTAGCAAATGCTTTAGATAGAGGCAGATACCCCAAAATAGGTATCAGAATCTGCATTAAGCACAAAGGAGTTTTCTGTTTCATCTAGGCAACTCTTACCTTCCCAACCTGGGATTCCTTCTGCCCAGATCTCTTTCCTAAGTGTTGCCCCCCCTTTAGCAGGATACTTTACAAGAACCAGCTTCCCTGCACGTACCTACTCTCTGCCTGGGGATTCTGTTCACAGCTCAATCAGCTCCACAGGAATGTCTTGTCGATCAGATTCTTAATGGCAATATCTATTTTGAACACTTTTTTTTCAAAACTACAGGCTGCTTTTTTCTTGACATGTAAAAGATGCTTCAAAAACTAGTGAAGTTCGTTTGGCCCAGCCAAGGAAAATATTATCTGGCTAGACAACAAAAATACCATTAAGAACGAAAGCAAAGGTTAATGACCAGAATGGTACTTAATTTGACTATAAATGAATAGCTTGCCCATTATGAACAAAATACCCTGCATGCATGGAGGAGAGAAGCAGTTCAAATCTCAGGTCGTAACTCCTCATAAAGCACACAGTGAAAAATCACAAATCAGATAAATGCACAAAGGACAATGATGAGTGGGGCTCATTATCAGATCTCGATAGGGAACAGACATGAAGGCAACCTACATATTGAGAACAGCAGCATAAAATGTAAGCCAATAATCTTGGTTTGATCAATGTAGAAGCCAGGAAAAGGCTGCAAGGGCTCACACTGGAAGCCACTATTCAGCAATTGTTCATTCTTTATCTTGTAGTTACAGTTTAATTCTATCAGAGTATTTTAAATTTATTTTAAAAACCAGAATGCTTACATTTTTGCATTGCTGTGATAGCCAACCCACACAATACATTAAATCAACTCCACAATAAAAAAAACAGAGGAATATTAAAGCTGTTGCAGATGCCAAGGTGCTGTCTGGAAGGCACATTGGCATGCAGTGTATACGGATACGTACCCCACATTTACAGATTTTGTGCATTAAGTCCAACATTGGACTTGTAGAATTTCTGTGTGGGAGAATAAAAAAATACCTGGATGCACAAACACCCTAATGTTGATGGGTATGGAAACCATCATTTTCCTTTTTCCAACGTACAAGTGCATGCGCAGCTGTTTGCTTTCAATTCATTATCTATCATTAATGAGCATTTGCTTGGCCTCGTTCCACAAAGGCTATTCCATACATTGCAGTTACAAAAAGAAAGAACATCCACGTAGCAGCAACTGCAAGTTTGACAGATAAATCATACAAAAAGAAGGAGAATCCAGACATACAGTCAGAAACGCCATCCGCTGAGACCCACCCTGTGACACACGGGGCTCTTTGCAACTGGCTTATCATCAAGATGTAATCACACCTTCAATGGAAAACGAAGAAAAATCTTCTTGCCTCATTCAGATCCGTGGCAAAACTCACACCAACTTCATAAGGAGTTGAACTGGGCTCAGAGCACGGACTGTAAGGCCCTACGCTACACTTGCTGCTCCTTCTGGACCCAATTCAGCCAGAATCATGGAATCAGGGAATTGTCAGAATTGGGAGGACTTCTAGAGATCATCCAGTCCAAATCCCCTGCTAAAGCAGGGTTGCCCAGAGCACATCACTCAGGACAGCATCCAGGCAGGGCTTGAGGATCTCCAGAGAAGGGGACTCCACACCCTCCCTGGGCAGCCTGTTCCAGGGCTCTGTCACCCTCACTGCAAAGAAGTTTTTCCTCCTATTTGGATGGAACTTCCCATGTTCCAGCTTGTGCCCGTTGCCCCTCGTCCTATCGCTGGGAAACACTGGAAAGAGTCTGACTCCATCCTCTGTCAACCCACCCTTGAGATACTTGTAAACGTAGATGAGGTCTCCCCTCAGCCTTCTCTTCTCCAGGCTAAAGAGCCCCAACTCTTTGAGCCTTTCCTCATAAGGGAGGTGCTCCAATCCTTTAATCATCTTGATTGCCCTACGCTGGACTCTTTCCAGTAGTTCCCTGTCCCTCTTGAACTGGGGAGCCCAGAACTGGACGCAGTATTCCAGTTGTGGCCTCACCAGTGCAGAGTAGAGGGGGAGAATGACCTCCCTCAACCTACTGGCCACACTCTTCCCTATGTAGCCCAGGATTCCATTGGCCCTCTTGGCAACAAGGGCACATTGCTGGCTCATGGAAAGTTTGCTATCCATTAGGACCTCCGGATCCTTTCCCTCAGAAGTGCTTTCCAGCAGGTCCACCCCTAACCTATATTGGTGCCTGGGGTTCTTCCTCCCCAGGTACAGGACCCTACATTTGCCCTTCTTGAACCTCATTAGGTTCTTCTCTGCCCAGCATTCCAGCCTGTTCAGATCACGCTGGATCGTACCTATGCCCTCAGTTGGAACAAACTGTTAATCCCCAGACCCAGCTCTCCAGCCTGTTCAGATCACACTGGATCGTACCTATGCCCTCACTTGGAACAAACTGTTAATCCCCAGCAACTTGTCTTTAGACTATTCCTTTCCCGACTCGATGAAAAATAATCTGAAGCTTGAGAATTTTTTTCCAGCCTTGGAAATTCCCCTACGTGGTTCACACTGTGGCCTAATGAATAGCTACTGCAGCACCTCTGAGGCAACAGAATTAAGGAAACAAGCAACCAGGCATGAAACTTTTTAAGCTAGCATTTGGCTAAAACGGTTCCACATACATTAAACTAAGTATTTTGCCAAATTTACATCTTCCTCCTGTATCCTTTTATCAGTAGCCAAAATTATAATGTTTTTATCCGCTTTGTCCAATCAGAAATTCATCACAGATGTTACAAGTCATTTTTATCTGGGGTAAAAAATTAATTTCACTGTGAATTAGACAGGAATCTAGATGCAAATGATATCCGTGGCACATTAAATAGTGTATTAATTACAGTTAACTCAGTGACAGTAACTCCTATGTGAAAACTATAGGCTTTCTCGTTTTAAAGCAAGTAATTAACTTTCATTTCTCTGCCTTTCTTACCTGAAAAAACGGTTCATACTACAAATAGCAATCTTCTTGTCTCCAAACCAGAAACGACTGTAACAACAGCAGCAGAGGAGAATCCTGCTGCAACCAGTGCACAAATAAGTGCCCTTAATAAAATGGGTTCCACTCATTCACGTCAATAGCTGAGGGTTTTAGAATTCTAACTACATATTGAGTCTCTTCTAGTACTCCCAAATATGATGACAAACCAGGTCTATGTATCATGTGTGACATCACCAGTGTTTAACTTGACATCCTAAGTAGGTGGAAGAAGCTCTGCATCTCAGCTTGGTGTTCTAGGCCCTTCTCTATTACTCTTCTTTCTGAAACAAAACAACCTCATTTTCCCTGAACTCACTGTGGCTTTCAGCTATCTGATTCTGTAATTCTGTCTGTCCTGCCCTCCTCTCCTGCCCAATGCAAGTAACTGCTTTATAAATAAATATGGACCTGCAGTGAGGTTTATTTAATAATGAATCAGCCAGACTCTCTTCCAGAAGCTTCCTGCAATCTGGTGGCTCTTATTCAGGATGTGAGCCCTGCGCTCCAGCCATGACTCTGCTGGCTTGAATAGGCAAGGCAAAGTAAATTCACCCCAGCTCTTACCTGACCACGGTTGTGAAGGCTTAAATCTAGTCCACATGTAAATTCAGTATGATGCTCGACTGTTTCCAGCAAAGGGTTTGGCTTGGAAAAGTCCCAGAATCTATAGAGAGAGAGAGGGAGGGAGAGAGAGAAAGAGAGAAGGAAAAAAAAAAAAAAAAATCAAAATCAAACAAACCACAATTAAAGTAATTGAAAGGCCATTTCAAAAATATAATGCAAGATATTGACAAATCTGTTGCTGCCAGGGTATTTAAAAAAGCAAACTCATCCACTTAGAAAACATAACAAATCATATTCCCGCAAAGCCATCTGCTGATTTGCATAAATTAAACCCCAGTGGGCAAAACCATCTTTGTCTCCTGTTGCAGAAGCTGAGATCAAAGTTGGCACCAAAGAGCAGCCATTGGGACGTTATTAAAACAGAACAAAATGTAGGCTAGAATACTTTTGTTATATTTCTTGATGGCTGGGGAATTTAATCCCTGAAAGACATTAGCACGCTTTATGGTTTTTCTCTGGTTTTGGTATTGTTCACTATGGGGTCTCTATTGACCAAAAATTGTATATAAGAGAGATATTGGTCATTCCCAGTCTCAAATTTGAGATCATGTTCCTGTAAAGCAGACTTTAATATCATAATTTAATAATAAATTTATACCACAAAGATCAGTCGCATTATGCAGTTAATTCCACTAATTCATATTTCAAAAAGAAATTTTTCTTTCCAGGCTTTGTTGATGTAAATGATTGGAAAAGAGATTTCTGAAGTGCTCTACTTCCCCCATTAGATGCCATGTCCACCAAAGCAGTTAACAGGAAGGATAAGCGAGGTATCAGACAAGATGGGATGGAAGTAGAGGTACAAGACATCTCAGTCGTGAACAAAGGATTCAGGAATAGAACTTCCAGATAATAACACACTGAGAAGATACCATAGAGAAAGACTTGTTATTCTTTTTTGGGTGTAAATACCGCTTTGAAAAGTCCATAGGCTGCAAAGCAAAGCCCATTTTGTGGACTAGCAGCTGTAATTGAGTTTTCTACAGCTCAAGTTTTCTCACAGCGGTGCATCATCTGCTTTACTACTACTGTAACAACCACAGAGGTGTCTCTGCCTTCCTCCTGTTGGGGAAAGTGATAATACTTAATAAGAAGAGTTCATTATCAGACCAACTACACCGAAAACACTGTATGTTCAAACCAATTCAGGTAAAATAGCAAACACTGGAGCCAGCAGGGTCAGTTTGTTTAACGTGTAGATGTTATTTCCTTCATAAACGAGCAGAGTGGTATCAGCACAATGGCTACGCCATAGCAACAACCCTCTTAACTTTTTCCTAGTACCTGAGATCTAAGATAAACAACTTATTTTGCAGGACAGAGGAGCAAAAGACCATCTCAGCATTTTCATCCTCCCACATTTGTTTATAAGAAGGCAAGGAAACAAATCTTGTTTTAAGTAATAGTGGTAGCCTTCACTACCTTGTTAGCTCTCTACTAACTTTTGAAAGAAAGATGCTCGTTACTGAAATCTAAGGGTAAAGGAGACAACTTCAGATCTACATGCACACAAGTCTTACGAGGAGAGGCTGAGGGAGCTGGGGTTATTCAGCCTGGAGAAGAGGAGGCTGAGGGGAGACCTTATTGCTCTCTACAACTCCCTGAAAGGAAGGTGTAGAGAGGTGGGGGTTGGTCTCTTCTCTCAAGTCACAGGTGACAGGATGAGAGGAAATGGCCTCAAGTTGTGCCAGGGGAGGTTCAGGCTGGATATTAGGAAAAAATTTTTCACTGAAAGGGTTCTCAGCCATTGGAATGGGCTGCCCAGGGAGGTGGTTGAGGCACCATCCCTGGAGGTGTTCAAAAGATGAGTTGATGTAGTGCTGGGAGGTATGGTTTAGTGATGGTGATGCTCCTTGTTTGTTGTGCGGGTGTCTATTTTTGTCAAAGTTAGGTTGATGGTTGAACAAGATGATCTTTAAGGTCCCTTCCAACTTAGAAGATTCTGTGATTCTGTACAAAAACTTAGAAAAGACTTTCAAATCCGTTTTAAAAATAGTAGGACAATGTGGTGCCTGTTGTATGAAGTCATGTCTGCAAAAAGTCAGAAGCAGTATAGAGTTTAAGAGTACTGCAACTTACTTCAAGTTCTCAAACCTGTTTCCTTCTGGGGAACAAAAAAAATAAATTGTGATAAATATTTATGCACAAAAGCTTTACTACTGCTCTTAGGTTTCCAATAGATGTCTTCATGCATTGTATTTTCAGGGAGGAGTGAATCAGCTATTTCGAGACTGCTTTCCACAAAAGCCCACTCAAAGATTAATGCCAACTTGCACTTGCAACCACATCAGGCAGAGAAGTCAAATGTCACAACCACGACGTTTTCAAGAGCAACCCAGAGCTCAGTGGTAGTTTACTACATGTATATCACACAATTCATTCTCCTGCTCCCATCTCTAATCCCTCTGCAAAGACAACTACCTGCAAAGGGACAAGTTCTTCCTGCAAACTAGAAAAAACTTGTGTTTGCACAGAACTTAGTGTCAAGCTACTTTTGGATACAGGCCTATCAGGGCAATGTTGTTACTTCAGGCATTAACTGGGGACATCTGACTATTTCCACAATAATATCCTTAAGAGATTATTTCATTACAGTTCAAGTATTAACAATATGAAGCAGCTCAGGTATAGAAGAAAGCCTTTTTTCATGGTATTATCTTCCATAAGCATCAAAGAAATGATGAATAATTGCTTGAGAGCCAAATCAAATGGAAGAGGATCCAAAAAAGTAATTCTGAAATAGGTTTTACTTTTGAGTTTGCTCCTGTAGCATCGTTCCTCTCTAAGGACTAAACTTACATGTTTTATTTCAAAGTAATTCTTGCTAAAATTCTAACTTCTTAGTTCACCTCCCATGTCCTAGATGGGAAAACAACCCACATCACCTACACATTTATGAGTCGACTCTAATAGAGTTGCATGTGCTTCACTATTTTTTCTTATTACACAAGAGAACTGATGTTCTGACAATGAAATCCTCTACAAGCATCTTTCTGTGAGGCAAAATGGCAGATTGTGTTACGTTTGTTTCAATTCTTCTGCCACAATACAACAAAACAACTGTTAAGAACAACTAGTTACTAGCCTTCAGATCTCTTCTGCTTTTGAAGAGGGTTATTTAGAAGAAAAACAATACACCTTCCATAAGAAAAAAATATTCAGATGCTGCCATAGTTAAATATTCAAGTATAAATACTTGAATGTTTATCTTAACGGAAAAGTTATGTATTATATACATATTATTATATAAGAGTATTTCATACTTATAAGGACCTGTTTATTAAAAGAAAAAAACCAAACAAATATCTCTTTGCTGTGCTCTTCAACAACATTCTAGTGTTATTCACAGCACCAGAAAATTTGTTTTCATAGGTGAAAGATATTAACCTATTTATGAGGTTGAATCATTTGATGAGTAGCTCCTGTGGCCAACGTTTTTCTAGTTTTAGGAGAAATTCCGTCTCAAAATACTTATTTCAAAGAAAACTAGCATTTGCAGACAAGAAAATGCCACTGAATTTAAAAAATACAAGAAACTGGGCACTCATTTATATATCAAAATATTTACCATGAAATTGCAATTCTTGTTTTAATCCGAAAAGCAAACACGTAAGAGAACTGATTTGCTTTACACTGGTGCATGAATGATTTTGACTAACTCCATAGCTGCAACAGTTAAATTGTAGTCGAAAAGTACAATTTGAATTGTTAGTTTCATCAGATGTGATGCCCAAAGCTCTGAATATCAAGAGGACTTTTTATAATAAAGCGGGAGATATTATCAACTGAGACACTCAAATTAACAGGTTCTTCTACTCCAGAGTTTTCAGCTTCACGCTAGAAATCACCAGTGACAAGCATTTTGATTAGGGAGAAGACACTTTCCATTTGGAAAAAAAAAAAAAAATCAGAAAAGTGAGCAAATGAGCAAGCACCCACCTTTTCACCTTGAAAAAAAAAAAAAAGACAAGGATAATTAACTGAAGTGAAAATCAGTTCCTTCTATGAGCAGCATCATTCCAAAAGTTCTTAAGACTTCTTTGTGATGTAAGTTACTGAACTTGTACATCACGATGGAGAAGTGGAGACAGTGGTTTACCTTAAAGCACCTTGCAGAGATGATGTCCAGTATAGCACAACCTTCAATAAGAAAAACACCTTTTTGCCTCACAGGCAAGCTTCTGTGAATCCATTTCAAGATCTGGCCTGATACCAGCTTAATGAGGTTCTATAATTTATCAGATTTTCTGTTTAAAATTTGGTGTGCACTGTCTGTGCCTAATGCACCACTGCACCACAATTTTTATTTTTTTTTTTACAGTGAAGAGAGTCCAAAAATATAAAACAGTGATTCCAGTAAGAGATGACACTGACGTTCTTTCAAACTGAATTTTTATAGAGATAAGGTTTAAGAACATGCACACAGACGTAAGTCCTGGAAATGTTACAGTGTGTTGTGTATTTCCTGGCATTTTAATGATTCACTTGTGTTAAAACAGCTCTTTAATTAACCTGAATTTTCCCCTGAACTCTTCCAAAGAATAAGGAAACAGTATAGAAAAAGTTTGTCTAAATGAGGCATTTACTCGACAGGGATTAAGTCTAAATCATTATACCCAAGTGTGTAAAAACTCAAGTTCAAATCTCCACCCTCTTTTTCGTAGCTCCCAGTTGGGATGTGAACTAGTTTTCATTTCAATAACTGGACTACAGTGCAACATTCTATCACTATACTATTTGCAAAGGATGAAGCTAAGCGTTGGTTGCTAACTTTGCTTTCAACCTACCTTTTTTGGTTTATTTTGCTTCTTGATGGCCAGTTGGGATTATATGCCAAACAGGCTGTTCTACCCAAAACAAACAAAAACCCTGCCTCTTACATGGCAGTTTAATAATCTTATATATTTGTGTGGTTAAACGATAAAGCTTCGATAACATTTAAGATTTGGTAACATTTAAGAGCTTAAACAGTGAGCTATGCTGTATCAAGTTATCTACTATATGTTAATACTTACAGATAATTCTGAGCTTCAAACAGAAATGTTAAAGAAAATAAAAGAATAATATCATAACTAAGCTTCTATTAAAATAACACTGCTTGTATCAATGAATCTGTGTCACACCATGTTCTATGAAGTGCAATCAGGCTTTGAGTAGATTCAACAAGATCCAAAATTAATACCAAGTACTGGAATCCCAACTTCTCTTTCACCTTTTATCAAGTATTTTTGTTCTTAAATTGAAATCTATGTTTATCTGTATATACAGCCATGTCTGTATGTACACATGTGTATATGTGTATGCATATACATACATACAGTGTGTGTGCACATATGTGCATCTGGAGTGTATGATGCATTGAGTCAAACTCTGAACGTTTCTAAGTGAACCCTACTTCTCACTGTAAGCCCACTTTCTTCCTGTAAATGACAGTACAGAACGTGTGGCAGAGGTACAACACAGTCATCATATTATATTCTTTAAAAGAAATGTTCCCAAAGTGCTGGGGTGACAAGTTCCTTTCGTTATACAGAATATTTCACTTGTGCCACCTTTTCCAAAGACTTCCACCTGGCCTCCTCCGTTGGTCGTTCTCTCATACCAAAGCCAACCAATCCTTTTAGAAAACCGCTAAAAATCTGTATTTCATCTCTTCAACCCTTCCCTCTCTCCCTAGTCACAAGTAATTGTTTGGACAGAAAAATAATGCCTAGAGTGGCATTTTGTGAAAAGGTCCCCAGGCTCTGCATTTACAGACACCCTGGGATATAAGTGAGGAGCTCTCCTCATCTTTATTGACACTTTCCACATATGAAAATGTCAGAGCTGAAATTGCACTAGATTCCAGTGCTGCATGAAGCACGTTAGTGCCAAACCTGAAGGATATATAGTTGGTGTCAAAAAATGGGAAGAACATGACAACACAATCAAGTCCCTTGAATGCACCAGGATGCTGATGATTAGTCTTATTGCTCAGACAAGGCCACTGGAAGAAACCAATTACCACTTCTTATTTCAGACCTAGAAGCCTTTTGAGAAATGATACGCCGTAAAGCAGTTGGCACTGCATCAGTGAAGGATGTTAAGTAAGATCCCATAAATAACCTTCCAGAGACCACTGTGCAGTATCCTATGAGAAGTGCATTTTAAACATAAATAAAATCAAGCACTTTCTATAAGACAGAATGCTGGTACAGCAGCCTAGAAGTTATGTATGTATGGACTTCCCAGCGCTTACACTGTCAGGCACTGACCACACGACAGTGGATACCACTGGCAAGGCACTATGCCTTATTACAGTAAGTATAACAATTAAAATAAATTTAGGAAAGGTTCTGAAGCACTTAAGTCCTTTACTGAGATAATGACATGCCTATGGGGGGGTCACGATTTTTATATAAACTCACCATCCAGCTCTAATCTACAAGAGAAAGGAACAAAGCCATGCACAGACTGAAATTTAAGGGAATGACTGGACAGCTAAATTCATAGATTTACCATTATTACCACCTCATCTTCCCAGCCTCAGAAGCATTCATCCATCGCAGTAGTCCAGTAATGTGAGCAGTCCCACAATCCCTCTATAATCCTCAGGAGGACACAAAGATGCTCAGAGGGGCTGGAGCCCCTCTCTTATGAAGACAGGCTGAGAGAGTTGGGGTCATTCAGTCTGGAGAAGAGAAGGCTCCAGGGAGACCTTATAAAGGCCTTCCAGTACCTCAAAGGGGCTATAGGAGATGTGGAGAAGGACTCTTGGACAGGGAACGTAGCAATAGGATGAGGGGTAATGGTTTTACATTGAAAGAGGTGAGATTTAGATATGATGTTAGGAAGAATTTCTTTCCAGTGAGGGTGGTGAGACACTGGAAGAGGTTGCCCAGAGAAGCTGTGGCTGCCCCATCCCTGGAGGGGTTCAAGGCCAGGCTGGATGGGGCTTGGAGCAACCTGGTCTGGTGGGAGGTGTCCCTGCCCAGGGCAGGGGGTTGGAACCAGATGGTCTTTAAGGTCCCTTCCAACTCTAACCATTCTATGATTCTATGATCTTTGCCACCAGACATGGACTTCTAATTCCCTGATATCTGTTGTTTAAAACACTCATCTCTAGGTTAGCAAGCCTGTTGGGAAAGATGCTCTTGCCCTGCTTTGTCAGAAAGATCTTATACCTGTCTCATGGTACCAAATCACTTAAAAGAGGACCCTGTGGTTGACTCTAACAGTCAAAGCCCTGCTTGTGACACCAGCTATGCAGACAAGTGTTGACTTGCTGGAGATGTCCTTTCCTACCTGAACCTTTTGCTTTCAGTGTCAGGATTAAGGAAAACACCACCTGGACCCCAACGCCATGTTGCTGCTCTTGTGATATTCATGTTCACCTCTTTCAGTAACATGAGAATCCATACAGGTATGTGGGAAAAGGCAGTGTTTGAATCTGGACAAAGCCTAGAGGTCTCTCCACAGCCTGCTGGCCCTCAACCCAAAAAAGGCAACAAAACCTTCCAAGACATTGTGTTGGGTTGGCAGACAGATGTTTCAAGAGGCAACACAACAGGAGGCAGTCTCCAGTCATAATGCACATTTTCCTTTTGGTGCAGACACTTGATTCAGGCCCAGCTGACTCTGACACCTCCCCAGGCTGAGCTTGTTTCTGCTCACCCATTTCCATTTCTAGATCTGTTCTCTAGCTCCAACTTGTGGTGCCAGAAATCACAAGTTTCCAGCCTTCCCCATCATGGGCATCTTTATCTGTCAGAGCAGGTAACATTCAGAGTGAGTTAGCCTGTAAGTGAAGAACCCATGCACTTTCAACATGGCTTATGAAGAGAAAAATCATCCAGCAGGAACATTAACTGCACCTCAGTATGGCCCCTCTAGAACTGTTTTTTACTGCAAGCCACATTAAAATAGATTATCTTTCTATTTTTATCCAATAAAAAAAGAAATACCATACCTCACAGTAAAATCATAGGAGCAAGAGGCCAATAAAGTTGCATGGAATGGTGAAAACTGCAAGAAAACAAAACAGAACAACTTTTAAAGTAAAAAAGTTGTGAACATATACAGACTTACAAGCAGAAAGTTACCAAAGTTCAACTATTTAAACTTTCTTGGTAGGTAGGACATCACGCTGCAACAAAGCAGACTACATCAACAGATTTCCTCACCGTGCTTCTAATTAGAAGGAATGTTCTATGGGACCCTGGTTTGGTTTGATTTCATTACAGTTTGAGAAAGTCATGTAAAAAGTGATTCAATTCTGCTTTTGGCTGACAAGCTGAGCATCATCTCATTATATAAAGCAAGTTTCAGAAAAGCTATGTGACCAGTTTATTATTTTAGGAGAGAGAAAATTTGTGCCATACTGCAGAGAAGGTAAGATATATTACTGTCATCAATCCCATGTCCTAAAACTTTGAACTTATTTACAGAAATAGGAAAATTGGAGGTAAGCTGAAAAACTGAAGGCAGTATAATGTTGCTTCATAATTTTCCCCCTCTCTTGCAGGGCATTTTATGGGACTTGCTCTTCTACAGACTCTTAAGATAGATCTAAGAACTGCAGCAATAAGGATGCAGTCAGGAGAAATTTGTTCACCTCGCCACCAGCTTTTTGGCAACCCTCAGTTTCCCACTATTTTGAAGTCTGTATTTCTCAAAAGTAAATACACAAACCATGGACAAAACTTCAGTTTGAAATGCAGGTCCCCTGCATCACAGTTCACAGGTAAAAGCACAACCATCTTCTACTAGTTTCACCACCTGTTTCATCTTTAATTCTACTATCACAGGTTACAGTGAATAACAATTTTGCATTCACTTTCTCCTTTTTATCATGAAGACAATGTGCTATGAATCCCTCAGTGGCAGAGCTGTTCTTAAAAGATCCCACTCACTTTCAAGAGTAAGAATATGACAGTCTGTATTGATTGATACTGTATCGATTCATCTGTCTTCATGGCTTTTAAATTGGGAGTTGCAAAATGATCTTTTTTAATAAACAATTAAAAACAAAGTTGAAGACCATTGCTAAATGTTCTTACACTACAATTAGAGCACAGTCATGCAAGTATTAAATTAGGAAATAATTTACAGCCACCACCAGTGGGGATAGCAAGCAAGGGTAGCAGGGATAAGGAGGAGCAAGAGCTTCTCAGCCTGTCTGGACACAAACAGGATCAGTGATATGGAACCACTTCCCGAGTCACACCCTTTTCTGACAAATTTCAACCTAAGCACAATAACTTTTAAAGTTGGTAGAAACACGTCAAGGGCATGTGAAGCAATATATTGATTCAGGATAATTTTTTTCTGCCAGTTCAGACTTTCTAGAAAATATCAATAAACACATCTGTTCCTGAAAGGCTTTAAAAGGAGCAGGTACTGTCTGACTAATCTAAAAAAAAAAAACTAAAAATAATAACTAATAGGAAAAAAGGTCATTGTGCATCTAGAACAAATTCCTAAATGATCTAGTAGTACACAGATCGAGTACGGTCTTCTGTAGCCTTTCATGCATAATGTCTCAAAATGTCTTTGAACATATTAACATTTTCTTTGTATACACAAAAATACACATTCACAAATTCTATACTTTGCCTTATGTGAATATTGACCCTTTGTATAGGAAGAAAAAGGCACAGCATCATTTAAAAAAAAAAAAAAAAAACGAGGAAGGGAAGGCATTTTCTCTATCTGAAATTTCCTATATAATTTAGCTGACATAAACCTCCCCACCCTCTTTCAAGCTCTCAAATGCTCCTCATGAAAATATATTAACTTTGAAGATGCCATTTACTTTGAAATCCCAGCAATCTGCTGAGGATCCAAACATTTCACAGTGCTGAACTGAACATTTCCAGGTCTTCAACACCTGTTGCCTTTTTCCTAGCTATTCGATAATATCAAATATTACTGTTTTCCAGAAAAGTTTGTGTACCAATTGAGTTGTGTTCAATGGGGACTAAAATACAACTTACTTTTACTCTTCTGATGGCGTAGGTATGACCAAGCAAGATGAACACTGGCTGCCGGATGTTCCGCAAATCCCAGCCTTTCAAGCTACAGTCGACTGCACCAGTTACCAGCAAGTTCTGACAATTTGATAAAAAACACAGATAGATCAGGACAATTTAATTATTAAATTGCAGTGATGCACGTGTTGGCTCCAAAAGTTAGATAAATCAAACAATGCAGGTGAATAAATCATAAATGAGGTCCCCAGTGTGTAAATGAAAGAGGACAGAGAAATACAAACTGTTTCTTCACTATGGACTATTCTGTCCACTATTCAAAAGAACAAGCAAAATCTCTGATCTACCTGGGCTGTCCATCTGTTGGAATAATGCTCTAGTACTGAATGTGAAGATCAAGTACTGAATGAGAGCATCAAAGCAACTAGACAGGTTTTTATAAAGAGAAGATGCATTAACGTTGCAGTAAAAACCCTGCTATTTAATGAGAGTGGTTCAATTAGGAGAAGAGTTGGAGGAACAGGTTTATACCTCGTCATATTTGCACCAGTCACAGCTCAAGATCTCAGCCTGGTGGGCAGGTATCACAAGTTTGACTCCTGGGGCTTTCACATCCCAAACTCTTAAAGTCTGGTCACCTGAAGCAAAGAGCAATTGATTCAATGTTGTTGAATCAGTTACGAGATACAGTTAATCCACCGGTACTTAGTAGACAACTGTTTCTTAGCTGTATCAAGCACAAACTGTTACATGAGGATGCTCACGCCAAATAAAGTAAGCACATTATAGACACAGAGCTCAGAGTGATGCACAAAAGGAATCAGAACTTACTATTCCTCTTGCATTAGAAAAAAAAACCCACAAAACTGAATTTTATTACTAACACTTTCATTAGTTTTTAAACTCTGATTTGATTAAAAGTCCATTTAAAAATGGACTTAGAAAACCAGAATAATGAAAAAGCTTTCTCTGCAAGCCAGCTGAGAAAAAGTAACTAGACACGTGCTTTTGGAGTTCAGAAAAGTGAACTGTATTTAAAATGCAACTTATCTCCAGATTCTTTTGATGAAAGGAGAAGTTAAGATGCATTCCCTGTCCTCATCACATGCAAAATCTGCACAGTTACTCTCAAGTATTGAAATATGGGAAGAGAAAGTCAACCTAAACCAGCAAAATAAAACAAAACATGACAAGCTGCCCCATGCCAAAGAAAACTGCTGTTGTTCTGAGGTAGCCACAGTGTGCAAATACAAAGGGCATCTGAACTTTAAGAGGCCAAATAATTAATTGCAGAAGTAAATTGCAACTTCTTGTCTTGTGTTCTCTAAAACAGTGATTAATTTACACCAGATTGGTTTTGGTTTGGTTTTTTTACTCCAGTATATCCACGGGTGAGGTTGGAAAAGAAACAACTTGCTTATGAAACATAAAAGTGCATTTTCCCCACGAGCCTCACATTACAAACATACCGGCACAGGGTTCCTTTTTCTCTTTTTGATAACACAGCAGACATAACGCTTTTTTTCACTCCTGAATGTAGTAATACAAACACAGCTCGCCAGAAATTAAACAAATAATTCCACTCTGAGAAAACACATACTGCTTTCCCATATGACTGGGAAATACTGTCAAAGTAATTGCATATTTAGAAACTTTATTTAAAATTATTGCTTTCGGGAGGAATACTGCCACTGGAAATGAAAAAGGTCCCCGTGCTGAGAAAAGCTCAGCCTTCCTCTTTAGCAGGATGGCAGAGTAGCCAGGGCACACCTGGACACTGGGTGACTGTGGCTAGAACAGTTAAAATTTTAAGGAGAATGTATTTTCAGACATTTTATCCCCATTGTGTAGGTCTCTACTACTATGTTTATTCTTGACCCTATAAAATCAGTACTAGTCTCAGAGGGTCTTGTGAAAAACAGCACTAAAGCAGAAGGACTGTGTTTTCAGATGCTGCTGGAGGATGCGGGAGGTTGGGGGCCTGAGGTGAGCCCCAGGCTGGTGCCCTGCTCCGACCCTCACCCCATCAGAGAATGGTTTGGGTTGGAAAGGACCTTAAAGATCATAGAGTTCCAACCCCCTGCCCTGGGCAGGGACACCTCCCACCAGACCAGGTTGCTCCAAGCCCCATCCAGCCTGGCCTTGAACCCCTCCAGGGATGGGGCAGCCACAGCTTCTCCCAGGCAACCTCTTCCAGTGTCTCACCACCCTCACAGGAAAGAATTTCTTCAAAATATCTCATGTAAATCTCCCCTCTTTCAGTTTAAAACCACTACTCCTTGTCCTATAGCTACTCCCTCCCCATCCTTCCCTCAGGTACTGGAAGGGGCTCTAAGGTCTCCCTGGAGCCTTCTCTTCTCCAGGCTGAACAACCACAACTCTCTCAGCCTGTCCTCACAGCAGAGGGGCTCCAGCCCCTCTGGGCATCTTCGTGGCCTCCTCTGGACCCGTTCCAACAGGTCCATGTCCCTCCTGTGCTGAGGACTCCAGAGCTGGATGGGGGGTATCTCACCACATCGGGACGCAGGCAGAGCCCTTGTACCCCAGCAAAACAAAACCAACGGGACGGGAAATCCCAAAACGCTTTTTACAGACCCCGACTGACGGTCCCC